CTATTTACAATACTGAGAAATAACAAGACAGATACTATAGCATTGCAGAGTTTACCCGTTTCTATCACAAACCATCTAAACTTCCCCAATTTGTTGTAAGAGCCATAATCCTCTCCTTTGTCTTCTATTCTCTAGAATTAAAAAACATGTATGTCAAGTACCATTGCTGTACATTTTCAATTTGAATAGGTAGATATAGGTGTCTCCATCATTACATGACATTAAATGGAATATGCTTGCAACAGACCAAACCACATTTATTTTGGTCTTCCCCTTCCGCTTGTATTGTTTTCAATGAGTAAATTGATGCATATCCAACGAAAACTTCTATAAATCACAAGTACAATTCAAAATGACTTAATTGTATGCCTCAAGGCCATATTTCTCCAAACAGAAAATCTATAAGTACAATCACAGAAAGCATCCATAGTTATCGCCTTGCAGTGCCTAGGTACAAAAGATACTCAGAAAACTCAACTTTTGAATAGTCCAAAAGAATTACAAAGACCGAACATAAAAGTTCAAGATTAACTCTTACGTAAACAGATATTTGAAGCCAAAAAACAAAAGAAAATTCATTCAAAATTTTATGAAATCCACAAACGACATAGGAATTGGCAAGTTTACGAGTAAATATTCAAATGAATATATATCTAGAGGGATGTAATGGTATTGGTCTTACATAGAGCATTTGGTTGACGTTTCTGTCCTTGGCAGGACTCTCAGGAAGCTGAATAGCGCTACGACTTGAATGATTATCGGTGATGAACCCAAAAGGATTGAATGCCGGTGTATCTTTGTCTTTCTCAGAAGCCTTAGAAACAACTATCACAACTTTTCTACTTCTCCAATAGACACGTGTGAATACCACTGTTGCAGTGGAATCTATGGCTTGGATAGTGTTGTGGGTTGGTGATGGAGAAGTGATTAAGAAGTTGAGATGAGGAGGGGAGTGAAGAGGTTGAGCCATTGTTATGGTTTAGAGTTGGCAAATTTGAATATAATGAATACCACCATAGTTATCAAATCGTGTATCGGAAGGCGTATCGTAAGATACAAATATTGTATCGTATCGTGTATCGTATCGTGTATCGTAAGATACGATGCAATTTTAAATAAATAATAAAAAAAATATATACCTTTGAAAAAAAGTCATACACTCATAAAAAATATAGCATTTCATTAATACTCCACCAACTATTCAAGTTATCAACATAATCCACTACTATTATAATGCAAAGTTCACAACCATAGTTCACTAATTCAAACTTTAAACACCAAAGAGACTTCTAATCCAAATTTCTAACATCCATTTTGAACTCAATCTTCAATTTCAATTGAAAATGCATCATCATCATCATCATTGTGATCGGATGCCAACAAGTCTTCACTTGTCGTTTTTTTTTAAAAAAATCAGAGCACAAAACGACGTCGTTTTTAAAAAAAAAAAAAAAAAAAAAATTGCACGTATCGTGCGTATCGTACCGATACGTATCGTATCGTAAAAACGTATCGTGTATCGGACGATACAACGCAAAAACGATACATAACTACGATCCGTATCGTTTTAGGGCTGTATCGTAACGTATCGTACGATACGTATCGCGTATCGTACGATACTAACAACTTTGAATACCACTAACTGCCTACTAATACTGAATTTGTTTTTTTTTTAAATTATTTGTGATGAGTGAATTTTGTTGGGCATACGTGTGAAGCCTTTAATTTTTTTAATTAAAGAAAATAAGTGGTGCATATCGGAAATTTTATTTTTATCTTTTTATTTTTTTTCAATAATTATGCAGTATTTGAATTCATAATTACAATTTAAAATTCATATCCATATATAGTCATATATAAAAACTATACACAATATATAGAATTTTTATTTAATTAATTACAAAGTTAGGGGGAAAATTTTATTTCTATCTTTTTTATATTTTTTCAATAATTATGCATTATTGGAATTCATAATTACAATTTAAAATTCATATACATATATAATCACATATATATAAACTTTACACAATTTCTAGAATTTTTATTTAATTAATTACAAAGTTAGGGCCCCCATTTTTCTTAATTTTTAGAATTTTTAAATAATTAACTAATTAAAGAATTATGTATTCTTTAATCAGAAACCAATTCTTGGTTAATATAACTTTTTTTCCACTTTCTCACTAATTAATAATCCTTTAAATTAATTTTTTTAAAAAATAATTAATTTCACTTTATAAATTTTAATAATTCATTAACTATCCATGTGATGCGCCAGGAAAAGAGAAAGTTCCAAAATAGAGAAAAAGACTGAGCAAGAGGAAAACGAGTTATAAATGCCATTCATCACATGAAATTGTGCTTTTTCTGTAGCAATTTTCACTTCACCCCATTGTCCACATGTTCATGACACTCATTTCCACGTCTTGACACTTCGTATAATAATAATAATTCAATAACATAATAATGTGGAGTATAGATTTAGACTTAACAAGTTCAAGTCATAAACTGAATTATTAATCAAACATGCTTAATAAATTAGTCAAAATAAATATGTTATTCACAACATATATATGATATAAAATTGACTACATGTGAAAGTAAATTAATTGGGTATATATTAAATAAATTCAATAAGAAAAATTTTGAAAACAAAATTTAAATTATATACTTACCCAAAAAAAGACAAAATTAAAAAACGAGACCAACTAGTAGCAATCCGAGAAAATAATATTTGATTCCATTCATTGGCCAAATACAGTAAATTACAAGGACCATAATGAAATAAGTAAAGCTGGGAGTGGTGAGGGTAAAACTAACCTCTCAGACTTTGACACAACCCATAAAACTATTAATACAACCATGACTGACGATAGCTCATTTTCTCCGGCCGGCGAGGACTTATCGTTGAACCTAGACCCCTTGTTTGAGATTATCAGTACTTTTGTATAATCTATCTAGGTTTTCATTTTTAGTTCCAAGCTTACATTCATTACAATGTCTCTTATTTTTGGGTTGGTTTCAATGTGAAATGTTTTACACCAAAAATATATACTTTTCATGAAGGATCTTTTCCATACATCAAAAACCATAATTAGTGCAAATATATAGGTATTGATGCATATTTATAATTTATTTGTTTGGTGTGAATATGTATGTATTTTTTATGGTCAGCTTATAAGCAAATCAAATTATTCGGGTTCCACTCAAGTTGAGCTCATCTAAGGCTTGTGCAAAATTGACTTGCTCGATAAGTGAGTCAAGTTTGAGCATATTTTTTACGTGTTAATTTTTTAAGTTCAATTTAATATTTAGTTTAAAATTTATTCAGATTTGAACCCAAGCTTCATAAGCTATTACTCAACATGGATAGAATGATTTTAATTTCGTTCACCCGCAATATTTTTTTTTTTTAATTATATATTATATCCTATTGGATATCCATCAATACCTAATAGAAGATTTATTCTTTAAAAAAAAATAGTAATAGTTTAGCATAATATTTTTTTTTCCACAAACCAATTGTATTTGGGATTTAAAAAAAAAAAGTCAATTGTATTTAAATAAACAAAGAACACAATAGAGGATCTAAACCTTAACCGTACTTGATAGAAGCCACATTTCGGAGAAACAAAACAAACCCTAGTCGAGTTGGGTTCTCGTGGTTCAATTCAACAAAACAACTATAAACATGAAAATGTATAGGCGCACATGTGACAAGTTTTTTACTCTCGTCGAAGCAACGCCAGTGATCTTCTTCGGCTAACGAAATCTCCGACACACCGTAAGACCTTTTCAATCCCTTAAGATTTCTCGTTGATGCGAATTGCGTTGTTAAGCAACGATATTACTTGATTTTATTTTTTGAGAAATTACTTGATTTCGCTTAATGTTAAGATTTCCATACTTAAAACCGTGGGTGATATTGGGAAAATCTTTTTTTTTTTTTTACTCTTTATCCACAGACAAACAAAGCATTACTGATTGTTTGCCTTATCAACAGACAAATTAACCTCTCAGACTTTGACACAACCCACGAAACTTTTGATGCAACCATGACTGACGATAGCTCGTTTTCTCCGGCCAACGAGGACTTATCGTTGAACCCAGATATCCATATCAACGTAAGTTCCTTTTAATTCTCTTCTAACGGAGTCGTTTTAAGTATAATATATTACCCCATTTTTTAGATTATCATTACTTTTTGTGTAATATCTCTCGGTTTTGAATTGTAGTTCCAAGTTTCCATTTTGACATAATCTTATGACAAACAGTGAATGTGAAAAGAACCCATGTTTGTTTCCTGAGAAAATAGAGGAAGAATTAGAGGTTCTTGACCTTACTTGTAATTGAGTAGCTAATTATACCAACATACCTTAGGTGAGTTTTTTTATTTATTCTCATTTTTGTTCTGGGTATTAATTTTTTTTGGCAGTATTAAGACCCATAACCAAATACCCCCCTCTCCCTTCCCTGTTGATCTCTGGGTTTGGGTTGCTCCTGCTTGGGGTGTTGTGTTGTTTTTTTTTTTTTTTTTTTGGGGGTGGGGGATGTGATGTGTTACCCTATGACATTTTTCACTTGACAAACTTTGTAATGCTCAGCTGACCACTCAAACTATTCATTCTGTGCCTATAAAAACCATTTTAGGTGGAATATGAATCAAGAGCAACATAATTTAAAACGGCCAGAATTCAAAATTTCTGCGATACATCTGACATCCCCTCTCTTGGAGATTTCCCCAACATGAACTTCTGACACTGCCCTACATGCCATGATCAATAATGTCCTGGGAAGAAGGAGTTGGTCGCAATCAGTATTTTTAATCAGGTGTACCATGTACATATATAAAAGATACAGAATAAATTACAAGTTTTGCCTTTTTTCAGTGTTCATGATATATTTTGTTGCCATAAATGATTGAAAAGATAAAAATAAACGAGTTCTTCAGTGTCTTTTGCTACCTTACCTTACATAACAATAGACTTTATTTGTTCTTGCAGTAGAAAAGGAAAACAACTGAAAAACATTATGGGCAAAAACAAACTTGGTTGGCATACATATACTTGTAATACTTTTGAGACCTTCATCTATCTTGTTTGGTTTGATAGGTTATTTATTGTTATTGTTGTTGTTCACCTTTTACTTTTATGTCGCGGGTTTAATTCTCCATCCAGATGGAAGATGGTTCTGAAAACAGTGTGCAACTGCTTGAGGACGAGGATACTGACCATGAGATTGATGGTGGGCAACTGTTTGGAATTGAAAGCAATGACCTTGACAACGACAGTGAGCAAGTGCTCGGGATTGAAGGTCACCTTGAAAATGGTCAGCAAGTGTTTGTGATTGAAGGCAATGACCTTGAGAACAACAGTGAGCAAGTGCTTGAGTTTGAAAGCAATGACCACGAGAACAACGATGAGCAAATGCTGGAGATTGATAGCAATGACCATGAGATTGACAGAGATATTGAGACAACCAGAATTGACGATCAAAACGGTGTATCCCAGGGAAATGGCTATCCCCCACCACTTGTAGGGATGGAATTTGAGTCATATGATGATGCTTATAATTACTATAATTGCTATGCCAAGGATCTGGGTTTTGCCATCAGGGTCAAATCATCATGGACAAAACGAAACAGCAAAGAGAAGCGTGGTGCAGTGCTTTGTTGTAATTGTGAGGGTTTCAAAACAATGAAAGAAGCAAGCAGTCGAAGGAAAGAAACAAGAACAGGTTGTCTAGCGATGGTAAGGTTGAGACTAGTGGAGTCCAACAGATGGAGGGTGGATGAAGTTAAGCTTGACCACAACCATTCATTTGATCCTGAGAGGGCACAAAACTCCAAGTCACACAAGAAGATGGATGCTGGAGCCAAAAGTAAGTCAGGGCCAACAGTCGATGTAGAAGTACAAACTATAAAGTTGTATCGAATGCCTGCTGTAGATGCAGTGGGCTCTGGTAGCTCAAATGAAACAGAAACCAGTAACCATATTGACCAGTCCAAGTGCTTCGAACTTAAAAAAGGTGATGCACAGGTCATTTACAATTATTTTTGTCGGGTGCAGCTATTGAATCCCAACTTTTTCTATGTGATGGATCTCAATGATGAAGGTTATTTGAGGAATGTGTTTTGGATTGATTCTAGGTCTAGGGCTGCATATGTTTATTTTGGTGATGTGGTTGCAGTTGATAGAACATGCTTGTCAAACAAGTATGAGATTCCGCTTTTGGCATTTGTTGGAGTAAATCACCATGGGCAGTCTGTTTTGCTGGGTTGCGCTTTGCTTGGAGATGAAACCATGGAGACATATATCTGGTTATTGAGAGCATGGCTTACATGTATGTTGGGACGTCCACCACAAACTATTATCACGGACCGGTGCAAGGCCTTGCAAAGTGCGATTGCAGAGGTTTTTCCTAGGGCTAACCATCGGCTGTGTCTATCCCTTGTCATGCAAAGCATTCTTGAAAAATTAGGAGAACTGTGGCAATATGAGGTATTTCAAACAGTACTGAATAGAACAGTCTTCACCCCAGTAAAAGTGGACGAATTTGAAATGGCGTGGGAAGATATGATACATCATTTTGGAATTAGGGATCATGAGTGGCTTCGAACTTTGTACGAGGACCGTGAACGATGGGCTCCAGTTTATTTGAAAGATACTTTTTTTGCTGGAATGCTACTCACTTTGCAATCAGGTGAGTCCATAAACCCTTTTTTTGATGGGTATGTCCATAAACAAACTTCTTTGAAAGAATTTTTTGAAAAGTATGAACTAGTTCTACAAAAGAAACATCAAAAGGAAGCACTTGATGATTTTGAATCAAGAGAATCAAGCCCCATCTTGAAAACAAGCTGCAATTATGAGTTACAGATATCTGAGGTGTATACAAAAGAACTGTTCTTGAAGTTCCAAGATGAGGTTGAGATGATGTCTATATGTTACAGTGTGACACAAATTCATGCGACTGGGCCAATCATCACATACATGGTCAAAGAAGGAGATGCCGAGGGAGATATGAGGGATGCTAGGAACTTTGAAGTTATGTACGACAAAGTTGGAGTAGAAGTTCGCTGCATTTGTAGTTGCTTCAACTTCAAAGGGTATTTATGTCGGCATGCATTGTGTGTTCTAAATTACAATGGCATAGAGGAAATTCCCAGTCAGTACATTCTCTCGCGGTGGAGAAAGGATTTCAAGCGCCTGTACATTCCAGATCTTGGCTCCAGCAATATCGATGTTACGAACCCTGTTCAATGGTTTGATCACTTGTATAGACGTGCCTTGCAAGTTGTTGAGGAAGGGATGGCATCTCAAGATCATTACATGGTTGCTTGGCAAGCATTTAAGGAGTCCTTGAACAGGGTTCGTCTTGCCGCAGACAAACATGTGTAATCAATGAAATGAAAGAAGGACGACTCGGTGCACGTGACTTCTGTCACTGCGGATCTCACAGAGCTAGATGTAAACAGTCTCACCGTGCACGGGAGAGATAATTTTTATGGCCCGAATACTTGACGCCCAGGTTATCAATAAGCCAAGGCCCACTCTCCATGTATAACCAATGAAAGCAAATGTAATATTCTCTATATAGAATTGATTGTTCTTTCTCACACAGTTTCATGTACCAAGCTTTCCGATTTGTTTTGTACAGTAGCGAACTACCTTTGGGTGTACTGTGTACAAAAAGAAGTTCTATCAAAGCTGCTCTCTGGTATGAATTATGAAAGAACTGAATAATTGGGCTTGTTCTGATTCAGAATGTAACGACAATGATTGATAGTGGTTCAGTTCAATAAGAAAGCCTATATTCATTACAATGTCTTTTATTTCTCGGCTGGTTTCAATGGTTCAGTTCAAGAAGGATCTTTTCCATAAATTGAAAACCATAATTATATAAATATATAAGTTTTTATGCATATTTATCGAATTGGTGCACGTTTTCTTTGATAAGGGATATTTTTCACGTGTTAATTTTTAAAGTTCAATTTGATATTTTTATTTTAAATCTAATTGAGATAAAACCAAGTTGCATAGGCTATTGCGCAACTTGGATAGACTGATTTGAATTTCGTTCACCTTCGACACTCATTTTTTAATGATAATTATATACTATTGGATATCCATTAATACCTAATGGAAGATTTATTATTTAGAAAAAATGTATTTGTAGGTTAGCATAATATTTCTTTCCACAAACCAATTATATTTGGGATTAAAAAGGAAAAAAACAAGGCAGTTATATTTAAATAAACAAAGAATACAACAGTTGATTTAAATCTTGACCTTACTGAATAGAAGTTACATTCTAGAAAAACAAATCTTAGTCGAGCCGGTTCTTGTGGTTCAATTTAACAAAACAACTATGAATATGAAAATATATAGGTGCGCCTACGACAAATCTTTACTCTCGTTAGAGCAATGCCAGTGATCTTCTTTGGCCGACAAAATCTCCAACATATCGCAAGACTTTCTTCTTTTTTTTTTGGGGTAGGGGGATGGGGAGGGAGATTTGAACCCTCAACAAGATAAAGTTTTTACAAGATAAGAAGTACCATTGAACCAACTCCTCATTAGTTGCAAGACTTTCTCAATCCCTTAAAATTTCTCCTTTGATAAGCAACAAGATTATTTGATTTTATTTTTCAAGAATTACTTTATTTCGCTAAATCTTAGGGTTTTCGGGCCTAAAATCATGGGTTATATTGAAAAAATCTTTTGGTTTTTTTTTTGTCTAGTGTATCAACATACAAAGAAAGCATTACTTTGTCTAACTGAACCTTTCTCGTTTGTTTGCCTTAATTGAGGTCTGTCAAGACTCATTCGCAGTCTTTTGATCTGCAGTGGGCCTCACTGGAATTTTAAAAAATTTAGGACCTAGATAAAATTTTAAAAAATTTCTGAATCTTGCCACACTGAAATTGTGATAAAATATAAGGTTGATTAGTGTAATTTTAAAACCATCAAAACTCGACTTCGCTTTCTTCACGACTTCACCATCCATCTCTGGCTCTCTTCGTTCCTTCCTTCGCTATATTCATCAACATATCGCCCACTTGGTTCTTGGCTTCGGCAGGTCAGGTTCCCATCCCTTTCTTCACATCGCACTGTACTCTAAAGTCTGTCACCCACTGTCCCAATCTTCCTAAAAAGATCCCACTGCTTACAAATCTACTCTATTAATGCCTGTGTGAGCGATTATTCTGATTCAATGTTATGAAAATCAGCTTATGAAGAAACCCTAGAAGATTATGTCGAAGCTATGGAGACTGGAGAGGTAACCCATTAACCATAAATTTTTTTCCTAATTTCTATAGATTCTCAGCCATTAGGAGATAGGGATTGACATGTCCAAGGATAGCACTAAATCAGATTTTGCATATTAGAGAATTAATTTTAGTTCCCGCCGAATTGAAGCATTGATTTTTTGTTTGGTGTATTATCTGTGGGGCTGTGTAGGTTTTCTTTGTTGCGTCTTGGGTCGCCACTCGGCTATCTTGGATTTTCGTTGAAGCCTTATTGTTGCGATGCTATGGATTTTCGTTGAAGCCTTGAATTTTGCTTATAATCTATTATTAGTCATTGTCAGCCCTTTCTTCAAGTTAGCTATCTGAGATTCTGGGTGGGTCAGTGCTATCTTTCTTCCTGATGATTAAATTGTTTTGATTGATTGCTTGAAATTCTTGTTTGGATTATATTTTGGATATATGGATTGTAGTTTGATTATGTGTAGTCCAATATCTCATTTATTACAAACTTAATGATGGCCAGATTAGTGGATATGCCAAATAGTCATAGTCGATATCTTTTCCCTAAGGGTATCGGAAATTTTCTTATTTTGATAACTTTGAGAAACAACTTTTAGTCCCCACAATTCTAAATATGACCAACAAAATCAACACAGAATTACTGGAGGTTTAGCCTTGGTGAAATTGAGTGATAAATAGGTGAATTTATCAAACCCTTCAAATAAATAATTCGACACTAACCCTGAATAAATGTTACATAAACTTGGTAAACATATGTTACACACAATACGTTATAAACATGACTTCCTTTGAATGTTTCTCAATTGGGTATCCCACTTCTCTTCTTATACTTTTTCTATCGTCCCTATCTTCAGCCTTTTGACTTCGTGTTTGAATTCGATTGACGATTATATTGTCAATTGAGTGAATAGTTTTAATGGAAATGGGATATTAGAAGATTCTATCAGAGCGGGTGGGAGAGATTATGCATAAACTATTTTTTGGATTTTGATAACTTTTGTTATTTTTTTTATTATTACACAGTTAGTAGGGCTTTGGTTATTGTTGGCCATTTATTTTTTTTGCTATAACATATAATAAAGTTTTGATTATTGAATTTGAATTAAAAGATGATCTGATTGGTGGTGTATTAATCTCATTGAAAAATTTACTATCGTTGAAAATTGTATGGTGAAGACAACATAAAGGAGTTCGATTTTATGAAAGTAATTTATTCAAATAGTATTGAATCTTGGCAATTGTGGAAATTTTTATAGTAAGTTATTGCTTTTGGCCTTTCTTGTATATTGCTTGTCTGGTTTTCACCTCTAATTGTTGTTCTTTTAATGAAATTAGACCTATAAAATTATCTTTAGTTTTTGTGTTTGCAAAAATAATGTCAATATTATGATCTTAGATTGTCCCACTGCACGAAAAGTGTGGCTTCGCCCCTGGGGACAGAGATCGTCAGCCAAGCTAAATAATTGATGCAATGGTGGTTTTGGTCTTTTGTCCCAACTTGATGAATGATTAATGTAGTAAATTAGTTATTGCCTTCCCCCAGCGACATAACTCAGCTGTACAAATCCAGCATTGTAAAAAGAAACAACCACTAATAATTTGAGTTAGTAAGTATAAAATCTGAAGCATGAAAACAAGCTCAAATGGGGAAATCAAGCCATTCTAGCACTTGTTTGTAAAAGGGGAATTTCCTTTATAATGCTATGCTAAAAATGTATTTAAGGCCTCAAACTACTTCTATGGAGGCTAGACTTTTTTTTGTGTGTTGTTTTTTTTTTTTAGGGGGGAGGGGGGGGGTCGTCATCTTGTTTGTAGGTCTATTCATGTCTAGATATATTTTAAGACCATCTAATGGACGTATCACTGACATTGAGATTTCAGAATATAAGCATGGGGCCAAAGATTATGATCTGCATAGCATCCTGTTGTACTAGAATATGATTTGACTGGCAAGGTTCCTTCATAGGTCATGCACTTATGGACAGCAGGAAACAGATATTGTTCTCTAAATGTCTACGAGCCAATTCTGTGTCTATGTTGCCAATTCTGTCTCTTGTTAATCTTACATATTCATACGGGTTGATGGCTATTTCAGATGGAAGACATTTCTCTTAACAGTGAAGAAGTAACTGTAGGTCAAGGCAGTGAGGCTTTCCAAGAGAGACATGATCAGAAAACAGATTTGGACAGTCAAAATGGTGTTCTTGAGGGAAGAAAGGAATTCGTAGCTCCTGCTATGGGAATGGAGTTTGAATCATACGAAGATGCTTACAACTACTACAATTGTTATGCCAGAGAGATGGGGTTTTGTGTAAGGGTGAAAAATTCGTGGTTCAAACGAAGTAGTAGAGAGAAGTATGGTGCAGTACTTTGTTGCAGCAGCCAGGGTTTTAAAAGAATAAAAGATGTAAACCGTCTACGGAAGGAAACCAGAACTGGTTGTCCTGCAATGATAAGGATGCGTTTAGTGGACTCTAGAAGGTGGAGGGTACTTGAAGTTACCCTTGAACACAACCACTTGTTGAGTGCAAGAACTTACAAGTCAATCAAGAAGATGAGCACTGGAACCAAAAGGAAGTTACAGCCAAACTCTGATGTTGAAGCACGAACAATCAAGTTGTACCGGGCACTTGTGATTGATGCAGGAGGTAATGGGAACTCAAATGCATGTGCAAGAGAAGCCAGAAGTTCTTCTGATCATTCAGATCGGTTGAACTTAAAAAAAGGTGATACACAAGCCATTTATAACTATCTTTGTCGTATGCAATTGACTAACCCAAATTTCTTTTACTTGATGGATATTAACGATGAAGGATGTGTGAGGAATGCGTTCTGGGTAGATGCCCGGTCTAGGGCTGCATGTGGTTACTTCAGTGACGTAGTTTATTTTGACAACACATATTTGTCGAACAAATATGAGATGCCTCTTGTGGCATTTGTGGGAATAAATCACCATGGCCAATCTGTGTTGCTAGGTTGTGGCCTTCTTGCAGGGGAGACCACAGAGTCTTATGTTTGGCTATTCAAAGCCTGGCTTACGAGCATGTCAGAACGCTCTCCACAAACCATTATTACAGACAGATGCAAGATTTTGCAGATTGCAATTGCAGAGGTATTTCCAAGATCTCATCATCGTTTTGGTTTGTCGCACATTATGAAAAGAGTTCCAGAGAAATTGGGGGGGCTGCGCAACTATGATGCTATCAAAAAGGCATTGGTTAAAGCAGTTTATGAGTCTTTAAAACCATTTGACTTTGAAGCGGCATGGGGATTTATGATCCAGCACTTTGGAATTACTGATCATGAGTGGCTTCGGTCTTTGTATGATGATCGAACTCGATGGGCTCCAGTTTATTTAAAGGAAACTTTCTTTGCGGGATTGGCTGCTGCACGGCCTGGTGAGACCTTGAATGCAATTTTTGATAGATATGTGCACAAGCAAACTCCCTTGAAAGAATTTCTTGATAAATATGAATTAGCCCTACAAAAGAAGCACAAGGAAGAAGCACTAGCAGACATGGGGTCGAGGAATTCAACTCCCACATTGAAAACAAGATGTCCTTTTGAGTTGCAGCTGTCTAAAGTGTATACTAGGGAAATATTTAATAAATTTCAATTGGAGGTTGAGGAGATGTATTCTTGTTTCAGTACTACACAGTTACACATTGATGGGCCAATTATAATATTCTTGGTCAAGGAGCGTGTTTTGTGTGAGGGAAATAGGAGAGAGATTAGGGATTATGAAGTTCTGTACAATAGAGCAGCAGCTGAAGTTCGTTGCATTTGCAGCTGTTTTAACTTCTATGGTTATCTATGCCGACATGCTTTATGTGTGCTTAACTTCAATGGGGTGGAGGAGATCCCTTCTAAGTATATTTTATCAAGATGGAAAAAGGATTTCAAGCGTTTATATATTCCTGACAATGGCTCCAATAATGTTGATGTTACTGAACGGATTCAGTGGTTTAGTCAGTTACACAGAAGTGCCTTGCAAGTTGTTGAGGAGGGGGTGATTTCTCTAGACCATTACAAGGTTACATTGCAAGCTTTTGAAGAATCACTGAACAGAGTTCATGATGTTGAAGGAAAACATGAATAAGATCTTCTGTAACCTAAACCTGTCAAACGTCCTTTCCACCCTTATCGCTTCAACCTGTGATTGTGCATAATGTATGTTCCCAACAGCAATTTGTAACAGAGTTAGCAATATGAAGAGAAGACTATTTCAATTGATTATTTTTTGTCGTAGGTTGTGCGCGTAAAATACTATTTTGCAGATTCAAGGTGAAGACAGGCTGTTAGTAGTAGGTTCTGTTTCTGAGGGAACAAAAAGCTTTCCTGACTTGATGCCTTCAAACCAGAAGTGCTTTGACATTGGCAGTCAGCAAAGACCTGTGAGGAAAACCTATATTGTCAGAGATGGGTTGGTTAATGTTAACAAGGTTTAGTTGTTCTGCAATATTTGGGGATGTGATGATTGATGTATATAGCTTCAGCAAGGTTCAAGAATCAAAATCCTCTCTGCGGAGAGACTTGTTGATTTGATCGAGAATGTTATGGTGGGCGGTGAAGCCATCATGTTATTGGAAAAAGGGGGTGAATTTAGTTTAACAATCCATTTGAAAGTTGTATCAAATAAAGTATATATGTCGATTTTCTTGAACTTTGGCTCTTGCTGCGGAATAAAGTGGTATATTGTTGCGTGTATGTTGTTGTCAATGCCAGATTAAGCTCTATAACCTTTAAATTGCTCCTACAGATAGGTGAATGATTTGTTCTTCCCACGCCACATAAAATGATGCACCGTCTTCCCCATCTACTTGGCTTTTTTCCCCATGTCTTTGCCTGGTTTTATGAATAGGTCCTTATAGTTACACTATCTAAGACTTTTGACTGGGACATCCAGAAAAACTACTGCTACTACTACTACTACTAAAAATTACTACTTAACTATGTGCCCAAATTGCACTGCATGGACCATCACTTTACCATGGGCCAATTGCATTCTATATACCAAAAAATTTAAGAATTTTTTGTAGGGTTAATTGTAAATTGTACAGAAAGATCGTTTAAATTTTAATTTATATTTGTAAATATAAAAAAATTCAATTTGCAATCTCAAAAATAAAAATTTATATCAATGCGCATCTGAAATTAATAATCGTTAATTTACTGTCTAAAATTAATGAATAAATTATATCTAGATCCTCTCATACTTATCACTTGATCATTTGAATCCCCTCATATTTCGAATATTACTCTTATATCTCCTGATATTTGTGCACGTGTAACACATAACTCCTTGTCGTTGATATCTATTAATATAATTGTTAAAAAAATATGATTTCATTTTTTAAGTCCGTTATACTCTAAAGTTCAAAATCAAGTTTATCATTTGAATGTCCAATATATTACAAGCATTTATATAATATTTTTCATATCCAATGCAATATATCACTTAAATAGAATTATTTGGATACCCAATTAGAGAAAATTTTTAGTCATATTTGGATTCTATAGGAATATAAGTGTAATATTTAAAATGTAAGGGGTCTACTGTAATTAAGTGATAGGGGGTCTAAATATAATTTATCTATTTAATTTTAGATCCCAGACGGACGACTAATTCTATATTTGAGAGTATAAATTAAAATTTTTAATCTTTAAGAGTATAAATTAAAATTCAAATAATATTTCAGAATGCAATTTGAGATTAACCCAACAAATACACTCAAAAATTAGTTTTCTCATAGTACACTTTTAATACACTAAAAATGTTGCAATGGACCCTTTCATTCCGTTAACAAATATAATTGTTAAGGGTGAGAAGTAAAAATTCTTAAATTTTGAAGGTAGAAAGTGCCATTCTCCCTTTTACTATTGCAAAATTCTTAAAGAACCTACGGAGGGATAGACCACTCTGTACACCCTCTTCTGCCGACTTTCTGGTCCGACGGTGAAAACTCACCTCCTGGCAACCCCGGCAATATCTCCGATCAGATACCCCAGCAGTGAGACCTCCACCACTACTTCAAAAAGGTAATATTTGATTGATCGCATTTTTTCTTGTTTTTTTTTTTTTTAAAAATTTTGTCGTAATGTGTTGGAACATGGTTTAGTTGTGAAATATGTGCGAAAATTTGTAATAATTTCGAAGTCAAACTGTTATCGGATGGCACTGAGTACAGTTTAATGGTGATTAATTGTTAAATTTCGTGTCTTTTAATGTAATTTTTGAATTTGAAAATCATACAGTTATAGCCACTTCAGTTATATTCTTTGCTGTCTTGAAGTAAAGATAGGTTGATGCAGTTGTCCTTCACTTCGATAATTATTGGTGGGAGGGACACCCTTCTTCAGTCTTTTCTGTAGGTACAATCCTTCTTCCCCTTCCCCCCTCCCCCCCTTTTTTTTTGAGCTGGGGGAGGGGGAGGAGGAGGAGGAGGAGGGGTGGGGTTGTAACCCACAACCACCGGGCGAGAGTGAGTCTTACGTTACGAATGGGTCACTTATAATCAGAATCAAATCTGAAACTATATTGTTCTCTTTTTCTTCTTTCAAGAAGGGGAAAAGAATCCCAGGTGCTCGCGTTGATTTTAGGTACAATCCTTTCATAATCCACCCCTAAAGAAAACCCAAAAAAAAAAAAAAAAAAAAAGATGCACAAATGTACACTTCTTAAAGAACATAATTCAATGATCAGCATTATTATAAACGTTTAACTGATCTTTTCCTTTTGTACTCTTGTCAGCAATATATGGACAATGTTATGTCAGCTAAAGTGTATCATAGGGCTTTGATCACTGATACTTGCTTCTGTTGCATGTGAACAAAAACGTTTTGTGAGTTGTGAGCTGAAATGATTCCACAGGTGTCTGAAGTGAGGAGAAGAACCTATAGAAGTTTGAGTGAAGAAAATATTTTCTCCCATTTAACCCCCTTTTTTGACACTTAACCTGGGTTGTTTCGATAAAGAGTCTTTTGATGAAAAACTCATATTCAGTTGACTGCCTTTCACAGTGAAAAGAGGTGAATCTGTGAGAGGATTTTTTTTGTTTGAGATACAAGGAAAAACTTCTTAAAAGGGGGGTCATCCTGTTGTGACTTTCTAGCTTTAATGCTCATAGTTCAGCAAACTTATCCTCCTAAAAGAGTCTCAAATTGCAATTTCCATTGAGCTTTTAAGGCTATGACTGGAAATAAGAGTTCAGCTTTGATTGAGTTGTGGTGACGGTTAGGTTGAAATAACTTAAAAGAGTACTTCTCTACTATTTTTGTTGAAAACTTCTCCTGAAATATGACCTATTTGGCTGTTTCCATCTTTTGCCTTCGTCACAGACCAAAAAAAAAAAAAAAACGTTTGTCTTCATCCTTTCAAGTAGAAACTATTACATTATAGTCATTACCATTTGACACCACTGCTGTTAATACCTATTTTTTATGCGAATATTTTTTTGTTACAAATACCTGAGCTTCAAATGCCTATTATCTTTAAGAATACATTTCTGATGGAGAAAAGGAATTGGAGCTACAAATATGTCCATATAAATGCTTGATTCTGTCATTAGCATGGCTTTTAATTATGCATTTTTATGACCTCAATGGTTACCAGTTCTCTTCTCTCCTCTTCTTTTATTTCTTTCTGTTCTAGATGGATGAAGTTTCACTCAATGGTGAACCTATATATGATGAAGAGGCCGATGAATTTGAGATTGAAGGAGATTGTGCAATGACAGCATATGTTGGCCAAACTGGTGTTATACAAGGAGAAAACCCCTTGCCTCCAGCTGTTGGAATGGAGTTTGAATCTTACGAGGATGTTTATTACTTCTACAGTTGTTATGCTAAAGAACAAGGATTTGGGGTCAGAGTAAGCAATACATGGTATAGAAAGAGTAAAGAAAGGTATAGAGGAAAACTTAGTTGCAGCAGTGCAGGTTTCAAGAAGAAAAGTGAAGCGAACCGGCCAAGACCAGAAACCAGAACTGGCTGTCCAGCAATGATTAAGTTCAGGCTGGTAGAGAACAAAAGGTGGAGAATAATTGAAGTTGAGCTTGAACACAACCATTTGATTAGTCCAGCAGGTGGAAAATTTTATAAATCCCACAAGAACTTGGGTGTTGGAACCAAGAGACCACTGCAATTAGATAGTGCTGAAGAAATTCAAAAAATTAGGTTGTTTCGAACTGTCGTTATTGATTCAGAAGATGATGGAAACTCATATGTTGATGAAGGAGAATTCAGGAATAATGTTGATCAGTCCAACCAATTGAAGCTTAAAAAAGGGGATGCACAGGCGATTTATAATTTTTTCGGTCATTTGCAGTTGATGAATCCAAACTTCTTTTATGTGATGGATCTTAATGAGAAAGGATATTTGCGGAATTTGTTTTGGGCTGAGGCAAGATCTAGGGTTGCATATGGTTACTTTGGCGATGTCGTGGCAATTGACACCACATGCTTGACAGACAAATATGAAGTGCCGCTGGTAGTATTTTCTGGAGTGAATCACCATGGACAATCTATTCCCATGGGCTGTGGTTTGCTTGCAGGTGAGGCAGTGGAGTCATATACATGGCTGTTTAGGGCATGGCTTACATATATGCTAGGACGCCCTCCACAAGTTGTCATTACTGACCAATGTAAATCATTGCAAATTGCTCTTGCAGATGTTTTCCCTAGAGCCGTTCATTGTCTATCTTTGTCACAAATCATGAAGAAAGTTCCAGAGAAACTGGGAGGGTTGCGTGAATGTGAAGCGATCATGGTGGCACTGAGTAGAGCAGTTTACCACTCACTGAGGACAGATGAGTTTGAGTTAGCCTGGGAGGATATGATGCAGCGTTATGGAATTAGGGATCATATATGGCTTCAGACATTGTATGAAGATCGTAAACGGTGGGTTCCTGCTTATTTGAAGGATACATTTTTGGCAGGAATGTTTCCCTTCAAACAAAGTGAGGCTGTGACTCCACTTTTGGGGGGATGTTTGCATAAACAGACTCCTTTGAAAGAGTTCCTCAATAATTATGATCCAGCTCTACAAAAAATTTTACAGTTACAAGCATTGGCTGATTTGGAGTCCAGGAATTCTAGTCCTATGTTAAAATCGAGATTTTATTTTGAGTTGCAGCTGGGGAAATTGTATACAACCAATATATTTAAGAAGTTCCAGGATGAAGTGGAGGGAATGTACTCTTGTTTTAGCACACGACAAGAAAGTATTGATGGGTCAGTCATAACATACCTGGTTAAAGAACATGCTGAAGTTGAGGAAAACAGGATGGAAACTAGAGATTACGAGGTTATGTTCAATACATCTGAAGCAGAAGTAGTTTGTGTATGTGGTCTATTCAACTTCAAGGGTTATTTATGCAGGCATGCACTGAACATTTTAAACCAGAATGGTGTGGAGGAGATTCCATCTCAATACATTCTTTCACGATGGAGAAAGGACATTCATCGCAATTATGTACATCATAAAGGCTGCAATGGTATTGATATCGATAACCCCATTCACAGATATGACCATTTGTATAAACGCGTCGTGCAGGTTGTGGAAGAAGGGAGGAAATCACATGATCGTTACAAGTTTGCATTGCAAGCATTGGACGAGATATTGAACAAGGTTCGTCTTGTAGAGGAGTATCCAGTGTAATTTATTGTACGATTTCTGGCCACTTTGGCCAGCACTTGTGTATTGTGTAATCTATACTGCTTCCATGCAGGTGCATAGCGGCATCATGGTTGTGCTCATGTAAAGAAAGTCATTTGGATAGGATACTGTCATAGACTTCCCCTTGCATTTCAACACATTATTGCTTACATGTTTGCTTGTGCATTTTAGGTTTTGTTCGATTCCAAATGGATTTGTTGATAGGTAAACAGTTGAGGGTGTGTGAATTGCAGGGATCTGTCTCCAAATTCTCTTGATGTATCGACCTTCATCAGACTCCAAGCATTTTAAATGGCCTATTGTCCTCCATCATTTTGAACATGTGACTTAACATCGACTCCTATCACGGGGAGAAAGGTCAGACATACGCACTCCTACTCCTACCCCATGTGTTGGGAAGAGAAATGACTATATCATGCTTGATGTAGACACTTGAAATCCCAACTCAATGAAACCTCTGTCCAATACTACTACGCATTGTATACGAACCGATATAGAGCATCTCCAACAGAACATGTAAAATTATAAAATAGCTAAAATTTAGCTAACTAAAGACAAAAATCATGCTCCAATAGAATATGTTCAAATACTTTAAAATAACTTTTTATTATAGTGATACTCTATATATAAAACATCACTGTAGCAATTTGTATAAATACTTTATATTTTTTTTCTCTATTCTTGTCTTTTCCCACCTTTCTCATTCACTCTTAATCTTCTCTCCATTCTCTCTCTCTCTCTCTCTCTCTAACAATCCCAACGAAGGTACCAAAAATGTGAAATAATATTTAAAAGAAGTAGTTAAAATATAAAAATCTATTGGAGTGTGTATTAAATAATTGAGTAGCTAAAATAAAATAAAAGAAATATATTTTTGAATAGTTAAATATAAAAAACCTTGTTGGAGATGCTCTTAAGTTGTCACTCATCCCTTTTATGATGAATTTGGATTTTTTTTTACATAATTTTATTGATTAGTGGATTACTCATCATGAATTTAAGTGAAACTCATTATACATGAGTGACTCTCTTACAAATACGTGGTAAACATTACCTATTTTTTGGACAAATTGCTGCAATGTAAACATTAAATGTTCAATCAAGAAACACATTGATAACCTTAGTTTTTAGGAGTTGTGTCTACGGTATAGTCAACAAGTTTTTAGGTACCATATCGAAAAGTTATTGGCGACAGAAGGCTGCAGATTTGGTCATGTGTCAAGGTAAAGGTAAGGCAACCGGCTTCACCAGTTGCCTCTTCTTTACATTGTCCACAAGTCTTTGTGTTATAATATAATCTCAAATACTAGTAAACATCAACAACTAAGGGCAAAAGTACAACAACAGTGGGTATTTTATAATAGTAGGGGACAAAATTGCAAAGTAAATGGTGTACTTGTAACAAAAGTGGGTTAATTTAAAAATTTGTAGTCAAATTTACAAAAAACGAGGAAACGTTACAATAATTATGGGTAAATATACCATAATTTAGGTTAAACATGCCACAGTTCTGGACAAAGTTACGAGTTTTTTTATATTTTACTACTATTTAGGTCATAATTATGATAGTTTTGGATAATTTTATAATAACAGCAGTCGACTCGATGAATGCAAATTTACAAAAAAAAGGGGTTGAAGTTACCAATTACTACATTTAGAGGAAGAGTTATCATAATTGCGGATTAATTACCCCAACTGTATATATACCACTATTAAGGGTAATGTTACCAAAATTGTAGACAAATTTAGTAGTTTAGAGGGTAACTTAATTTGAATTTTTACAAAACTCTAGTAATTTTGTACTTAATGATATTATATCTAACCGTATGGTGGTAAAAGCATAATTGTCACCTTTAACTATAATTGTTGTAACTACGACACTAGTGTATCTCACTGATGTCATATATTTGCCTTTAAATTTGTATTATAAGCCACGGTTATTGTAATATTAAATAAAATGAAAGTAAGATTGACATATATACTAATAACTTTATCCACAACCATTCTAATTTAACCCTAAATTATAGTAGATTTTTCCTTTTGATGTTGTAATTTTGCCCCAATTATGGTAAACTCATCCATCATGGTTTTAACTTAACCCAGTTATGTGGTAAATTTACCATTTATCTTCATAATTTTGTCAAAAGTAGTCATATTGTTAATCAAAGAAATCATAAATTCTTCTCTAAACTTGTAAATTTATTCACAATTGTGGTAAACTCACCCTAAAATGTGATAAATACACCCTTAATTGTGGTAAATTATCCACAGTTCTGGTAAATCTTACCACAACAATGATAATATTATCCTTAATCATATTAAATCTAACCAATATGATGGTAAATGTATTGATTGACATCAATTCCTGAGCATTTTCTCTCCTCGAACATAGCTCCATCGAAATTTACTTTAAAAAAATCTTCAGGTGGATTAGACCACCTACTTGGGTTAGGTAATCTCTGTCGCTAACTTGAAAATGTAGTTCCCGTGCATTCTATATATTGACCATAATTTGGGAAGATAATGATTGTAGACATTAGATTATCAATGAGTCACAACATTAAATGCACTCCACTATCAATTCAATTATCACAATACATTACGTCCCTAAATTATGTTTCTAAATTATGTCCCAATAACATTTGTGATTGAATATTTATTGGATGATTTTGGATATTAATTTAATGAATTGAATATTAATTTGATGAATTAAATATTAATTGGATGAAACTGAATGTTAATTTAATGTTAATTTAATAAATTTAATGTTAACCAGCTGACTTCGAATGTTAATTTGATAAATTGAATAATTTTTTTTTTTTTGAATTGTGAAAATGTATTCATTCAAGTATTTGAGAAAGAAATACAATCAACAACTAATAGATTCCCTAATCCAATAGGGGGAGTGGAAGCCCAATTTTGGGGAAGACTATGGTGCAGATAACTTTTTGCCACCCAATGGGCAGGTTTGTTGTTCTGTCTAGGGGTGTGAGTGAGAGTTAACGAACACATAAACTTCCCAAGGGGGGGCTTCCTCAATAGCTCCATATGTGATGATAAATGCATTGTCGTTCTCTATTATGGCATTTTTGAATTGCAGAGTAACTGCCATGATGCATGCTTCGCTCACTGCCGCTGCCTCAGAATATAGACTTGAAATTCCAGGGATACTTTTTGCTCTCCCATCCACCACTTTCCCCAGATGGTTCCTGATGATATTGCCCATTGAAGCTTTCTGTCCTCCGGTGTTGAAGGTGCCATCACCATCACAGTTGATCTTGAGATTACCCTGACCCGGTGGACTCCATGTCATTTGGGTTGGGAAATTTCTGCTCTGTGTTGTTGTGTCTTGGGATCCTTGCCTCTACTTGCATAGATTTCTCCCCATGTAGATTGAGCTTGGTATGATTGGTATATTGTGGTTATGGGATTAGGTTCTGTTTTCCCTTGACTGGCATTGTGGATGCTTTTTAGAAGGCTATACTTTCATAGATTTACACCCATGTAGATTGAGCTTGGTATATTGTGGTTATCGTATTAGGTTCCGTTTTTCCTTGACTAATGCTAAAAAACGGTACCATGTTATTTAGGATGAAGATTTGATAAGAAAATTTAATAAGTGTAATATTATTTATTTTTATTTTTTTTTGGGTACTGTCCGTTTTCCACCCATAGGGGCCACAGAGAAGAGACAAGTAGCTTTGAAAATTACCATGTCAAAGTATTACATTCGTTACTACATGCATGTACTAACAACTTACTACGTCATCTTACGTTGGGCAAGTATGAAATCAGCTGCAACTTGATTGAGACCTTTTCTTTTTCACTCAGACAGAGAGAGAGAGAGAGGAGAGAGAGATAACACATGCGTAAAGAAAGATTTCTGGACTAAAAGTACACAGACATCCGTGGGGATGCATGAGAGAAATCAGAATCGGCTTCTCTGCCTCTTTCACTGACTTCAATACCAGCTAAGATGCAACCCTACTAGCGAATATGACAAGCCTCACAGAATGATGGTAAAGGCCAAGCTTGCTAGAGTGAGAAACAGAAAGAAACAAGACTATTGGTGAAGGAAGGAAAAAGTGTTTGAGAATCTTTTCTATCAGATAAATTGTGTGTTACTGTCAATCCATTTGGATGATAAACTATAAGAAGTTAGGTGTAAGAAGTAGATTTAAAAATTAGATTTGATAATTTTAATTATTAATTTTATTATAAGTATCAATATTTATTGAGACTCTCTACCTATTTAATGGTTAAAATTATCAAGTCTAGTTTAAACCTATTTTTTAAATCCATCTAGTATTACTCTATACGTAAATATAGGTACGAGTGATTGGAAGAATAGGGGTACTATAGGTATTACCATTGCATACATCAATCCCCCACTTCTCTCTCGTATAATAATAGCTAAAGATTAACGGTGAAACTATTCTCACTTGTACAAATTTTCATTCTCACTTCATTAAATTATAAATCATAAAAATAATAAATTCACTATTTTTATACCCACACACTAATATGGAAAGAATGAAACAATTATATTCGCATTCTAAACAAACTTGAAAATGTTTTCATCATCCACCCATTAATACCTCTATATATAATAAAGGCTCTATTGTGATAAATATGAGAACACACACAAGAATTTAATCAATGGGTACTAATATATCTATATTACTAATAAAAATATTTTAACATAAAAAAAATTTTGATTTACTATTTTATTCTTATAAAATGCTAACATGTTATTTTGTATTTAAATAATAAATTAATCTCTAACATATCATACAAACCTATCTATCTTTATAAAACTTTTGAATGGTTATGTTGTGCTTAACATGATATATAAAAATAATATTATTCTTTTTTTTCAAAAACCCAATAGTAATACACGTTGACAATTCCATTGATACAATATCATCTCTAATCCCCAAAAACAGATATATTTATTTTATCTCTTCATTCACAATCAAAATAATTTAGTAAAAAATTACTAATGCATTATAAATCTTACTACTTGATAGCTCGAATGAAAAAATCATAGAAAATAAGTCCATTGAATGTTTATAGTTTTGAAGAAAATACAAACAATTTAAGTATGATAAATATGAGATAATATCTAATATAACTACATAATTAGATTTTTTTATGTATTTTATCGTATGTTTCAACAAAAAATTTCACGTGTAACACACTTCGTGCATTGCTAGTATACATATAAACAAAATTTAATCCTATGCTATCAAATCGGAATGAAATCAACTCGAATTAAGATAGAAGGGTTCAAATTTACATAAGAAAGGTGGACATGAGTTACATACCAATATATACGCCATGACATGATGATAAGAATTGGGTGAAAGATAGATGCAGCTAGCGTTTCATAAAAGTCCTCATTCGCCATATTCTCCCACAGCTTTATTGAGCTTCCATGGCCTAATCAATACACTGAGATAGATGAAGGACGTTCAAGAAAGCTGTGGAAGAGCATGACAGGACTTACATGTCTACATTTTCACCTCCCTTGGATCTCACACGTACTTATCTCTAAACCTATATAGGGTTACTAAGCAATTCACTTAGCCCAGAGAGAGAGAGAGAGAGCTCCAACCTACAAAGCAAAGTTTGGAGGAAGTATACAGAAAGTAGAGAATGAAAACATGTACTAGAGAGAGAGAGAGAGAGAGAGGAGCCTTTGATCATAGAGTTGAGGAGGACCACTCTATGATGGAGTACATAAGCTGTTCAACAGCTTTATAGGACAACAGCAGAATGGAGAAGGGTTGCCTGGTGGCCAGGTAGGGAAGGGTTCACTTGGCTCACAAGACGCATTAGATACACCAAAATGAGTGCGCCGTGGGGTAGATAAACAGCATGCCTTTCAGTACTCCTGATATATGTTACTGAAGAGACAAAATTAATGACACATGAAATCAATATAACATTGACAAATAGAAAATATTGAAAAAAATAAAAGATCACAATACACAACCAATATAAACCATTATACACACACACACATATATGTGTATATATATATATATATATATATATAGAGAGAGAGAGAGAGAGAGAGTACCCTAAACCTTACTTCATGTGTTGTTATAACTTATGAGAGAGTATCCAATACAAAATTGACACAGTGATAGATTTGAGGTTAAGTATAGCAGATTCGGTCAGGTACTAAATATTTGAAACCACTAAATCAGCTTAATAAATGTATCAACACAAACCAGATGAGCCCGATTTGAGACTTAAAGCCACAATTAAAAATGAAAATTTTTATTTAAAATTTGTTCTTTTTTTAGATTAAATTTTTTTTTTTTTTTATATTTAAGTTTCGCTACCATATCTTTTTATATTGATAATATCACTAATCCACTTATTTTTTTCTTATAATAATCAATCATAGGAAAGATTTTATTAATTTTAATTTTACAAAATTTCTTTTAATTTTAAACAATCTTGGTCTACGGATTTTAATTTTTCAAGTTTAATAAAAAACCAAAATATATTTTGATATATTTTTTGTAATAGAAATTAAAAAAAATCATAAAAAAAAAAGTGAATTTATGTTTAGTAGAGAGTGAGTGAGTGAGTGAGTGAGAGAGAGAGATGAGATAGATGTTTGAGATTTTTTAAATTGAGTTTTGGGCACAAGAGGAACTGGTTACAAATGAGTGGTGCATTTTGATTAATCAGTTGGAAATTTTTTTTAACCTTTAGTTTTTAAAAAAATAAATAAATTATTTTAATATATTTTTAAGGGAAAATTGTGAAGGGATACACCTTTTAGGACTTATTCCTCTTAAAGTCCATAGTTCAAACTTTTAAGCATTTAAAGTCCACTTTTTAGAATTTGTTTGGTGACTAAATTTAAATTTTTGAATTTGCATATTTTCATAGTGCGTTATTACCTTTTAGTTAATATATGCAAGATTTGACAATTTCCTTATTTTTTGATTCTGCTTTATAAGATAAATAATTTTTTAAATTAATGGATAATTGTTAATTTGAATTTTGAAAGGATTCTATTAATAGTGTTGCCAGCTAATGTTCCTTATTTTTGGGATATGTTTCAGTTTATTGATAATTTCCTAAATTAATGGAACAATACATTTGAATTTTAAATAGAATAACCAATGTTTTTTCTATCTACTTTCAATCATTGATGAATTTCACTTTCATCGAAATTCAACCGTATTTCTCAAAACTACCAGCCAAAATTCACATTCTCCAAAAACTGGTCACCAAAATCCAATTGTATTAAACGAATTTTACATTCAAATTTCTTAAACAGGAGAGCATATTATCAGGTATGAAGTTTTTATTTTTATTATTTTTTATTTTTTATTAACAGACTTTGTTATTTTTTAATCACTTAGATTTCCAATAATTTTTCTCTATAAAAACGTTATAATCTTAATTTTTAATCACTTACTTAAATTTTCAATAATTTTCTTCTATAACAACATTATAATCTTATTTTTCAATCACTTACTTAGTATCTAAGTCTTGTGCCAAAGATATCACACTGGGTTGTCACACTATGATGTCACTCTTATTAAAACCAAGTGGATCTATGTATTTAATTATACTATCCAATCCTTATGTCAAGGATGTCACACTAGGTCGTCACACTATGATATCACTTTACTAAACTTAAGGGATTGTGTGTGTTTAATTGTAGTGTCCAAACCTTATGTCAAAGATATCACATTGGACCGTCACATTATAATGTCACTTTATTGTTCTACATTGGGTCATCACACTATTTTCGCCGATTTCTTAGCACTTTTTTTTTTTTTTTACATGAGAACAAAACAAACATTTTCCATATAAGATTGACTTAAAAACAAAATATTTTTCACGTAGGATTTTTTGACAAATAAGTATGTTTTGGTATAAAGGCTTTCGAAAGACCCAATTTTTAATATTGTGGGTTGGATTGATAAGCTCAAACTATTAAAATTTATTTTTAATTAGGTTTAGATTTTTATAAGGTTTTGTTGGGAGCCCCAAATTTTTTTAATTTGGACTAATTATACACCTAAAAATTTTGAGACCTTCTTTGAACATAGAATCTAAAGCTCAGACTTTATTAATCTTATGGTAGGACCAGCCCTAACAAAAACCCGACTAAATACAATATAAATGCCACTACTAAATAGAGAACTACACACAATGATAGTAAAGTTGAGTGAGACAAAAATCCAATAAATTTTGAGACTCTATATTCTATATATATTTAATTAAAAAGCCCACATGACCCTAGTCGTTACAGCCAATACCATGCAACACACCACA